ATCATCATGTTGAGGACAACTTATTTTCCACTGTGCTGCCTATTCCCAACCAAATTGCAAGCCTATCACTACTATATCGTTATTTCCATGGCAAATGTTCAGATGAGCTCTATTCTTTAGTTCCATCACTTCATACTTTTACTACTAGGACACACTATGCTATGTCCACATAATCAAATCACCCCAATTTCCTCCATATTCCATATCTAAGGAGTAAGTTTCACTCAGAGTTTTCCCCAAGAACAATTACTTTATGGAACACTCTCCCATGTATATGCTTCCTTGATGATAACTATCTTAACCTCTTCATGTCAAGAGGCAATAATTATCTCTCCTTATCTTTCTAGTACATTCTTATCACACACCTCATTCAGCAACCCTCTCAAGTGGCTCTCAACATTTGTATTCAGTGAACTTTAACAAAAATAGAAAACATCAACTTTGGATAATTTATTTGCAATTTTCATTTGGGCATATATCTTCTTCAAAAATTGTAAAAATACAATTAAAACAACTGAACAAAATGACCTTATCTGTTAAATTCTAAAAAAATTGTTTTCATTATATAAGTTGTAGCCTCTCTGTGTGTTTGTTACCAAACTCCTCCTAGGGTTTTGGAGACCACCCATAACCATATATATTCTGAAACTACATTTGGATAAGTATATTTCATTTTAATCAAATGGAGTCTTCAAGGGGCACAAATCCTACACTGAAAATTTTTTTCCCTTTGATTTAAATTAAATTTAAATGTGAACAAATGAATGTCTCCTATCCAAAATATAGAAGGAGAAAGCCAGAAGATGGAGGTCATGTTGCCAATATCAACAAGTAATATTGAAATGCATCATTTTTCTCCACAAATTATAGCAATGATTTAAAATTAGTCATCATTTTCTTACAAAAAATTTGTAACATGCAGCAAAGCACAGGCAATTCTGCTAGTATACATAAACAGTTTTTTTAGAATAACAGATAAAGTCACTTTATATATATATATATATATATATATATATATATATATATATACACACACACAAGAGTAAATCAATAGGTTTGTAGCCTGATATATAATTATTAACTGAATTTTCACTGTTCAATACTTAGTTTATATGATTAATATTTTTTTACCACTGAAATAATTGTATTCACAAGAATGGAGATTATGTAGGAAACATGTTCAAATTTTTATCATGAAACATCAAAATTATTGATACCTATGAATCTTTCTGTCATATATGTGTGTGTGTGTGTGTGTTGATAAACAATTCTGTATCCCCTCAAAAGGTGTATGTAGATTTTTTCTTTGACTAATTTTCCAAATTAAGCTTTCAATCTCTACATTTGTAAAGTTTGTTTTCTGTATTTTTCTATTTTTTTCTTGCTTCCTTCTTTAATAAAAACACTAGGCTTTTTTTGTTCACTCAGACTATTAAAAAAGTCAAAGTCCGTTTGACATCCATGTTTAACCTCAATAACTATGGCCTAAATTTGCAAAAAATAAAACATGTATTCCTAAAAACAGCAACCATGGAAACCAGGTAAATCCAACAAACCATTGATACTCACTATATCTTTTTGTCTAGCTCTCTCTCATAAATATTTAAACTTTTAATCAAAGAAACTTTGAAATTTTTCAGTTTATAGTATCTATCTAAACAAAACAAAATATATCTCTCTCAGCTTTTCTATTTGGCATTTCTAAGTGATCTTTTACCAGTAAAATTTAAAAGGTTATAAAATAGTTTCTGAAGCAAAGTTACAGTAATATAATCCTAATGTTAACAAATCCATCAAGAGAAAAGAACAATAAAATACATGCATTTTTTTTCTTTTATACCTTTTTGACTACTATATATTATGTAAAACCAGATTCACTATTATCTGATCCTGGTCATACAAGGGGAATTTTCTTTTATAATAGGGTGGTGCTTCTGAATTTGTGTGTGTGTGTGTGTGTGTGTGTGTGTGTGTGTGTGTGTGTGTACTGTAACTTAATTGTTAACACTTTATCTTAAACAGGTAGAGACAATCTTGCTCGCATCCAAAATTACAAGTAAATCTCAAACTCCTGAGACACTTATAACCTCTTTCAGTTTTTCTTGACAGAGTCAGATGATGAAAATAATTTTTTGTAAATCACATAAAAAACATGAAATAAGTATCACTATAATTCAAGTTCTCGGCTATATTTTCTCCAGATCTTTCTTTCTATTGATTTAGTTTCTAAGTTTTACATTAAGTTATATGCCAGAAATTAACAATGAGAATTCTTCAATGATAGGCTCTGATTTTTGTAACAACTTTTAGCATAATATCCTTTTCATTACATCTACAAAATCAAATTTTACCCATCCTTGTTACAACTAAAATCCTCATCTAAAACTTATAGATTCTAGTGAAAAAAAAGATTTAGTTTTAAAAATAGTTGCATTTGTCTATTGAAATTGGATAAACAACTGGAAAGTATTCTGCACATATGTAAGTTCCAGAATAAGTAAGAAATGGAATGTAAATGGTTTGTGATATTAGGAACACATAAATAACCTTGATTTGGTTATAAATTGTAAGTTCTGAATCACCATCATCATTAGATGAAGGAAAAGTGATGACCTAAAGAAAATATATAATAAGCTTGCTTTATACCAGAAATTAAATCATATCTCACAACAGTACTAAACTATTACAGAAGTTAACTCTCACATCATGTAATAGAAACAAACATGATATCTGATACATTCCAGTGCTTTAAATTTCATATTCCCACCAAACTAAAGGAAACATTTTTTAGTAATGAAGAACAAAGCTTAATATGATAGAAAAAGTTCAATGCCAAAGTCAAAAGTAAAGCATGTCAATAAATCTGGCAAGGAAGTCATAGTGGAGGCCTTTGCTGTGCATCCTTCTATTGGTGCCTTAAATACATTTTCTTTTTCATTTTTACATTATTAACTAATCCAGGGTTAGTGAACAGAAAGAATAGTGAAATAATGAATATTAATTTAAATGACACAAAGTTAACAAAACAGACAATAGCAGAATCAAAATATTTCAGTAATTGAATTAACATTTTGCATCACTTCATAATTTAAAGCTTCTGTGAGGATTTGCATTATTAAAAGAAATAATGCAAAACAATTTATTTACATATGAAATTCAGAATAAAAACAATAATTTTAATTACTTTGAAGGAGAATTAATTTGAATGATTCCTATTTTAATTTGGTGCTAATATTTTTATTCTGTTATTTGAGCTTTATCTATATCTATAAAACAGAAGATGTGTGTATATGTGTGTCTCTGTGTGTATATGCTATTTGTGCACATTCACCTTTCTTGACCGATTTCAATGAAATTGTACACACATATTCCAAACTTATTGAATTAGGTCAAGACCAATTCTTCAATCTCCAGGTCCCCTGAATTTGGCAGAAATATCAATAAAACTGAAAGTGGGTATAACTTTTTGCAAAAGCCAAGGCAAAGTTACATACAAACAAAATTTTCACTGGATGAGCTGATGTTCTTTGAACTTAATGCAAAACATAGCTCATGTTTATGTAGAGTGCTTGATCATTTTCCTGTGACAATGGCTTCATACAAAAATTGCAAAAGAGTGTAAAAATTGGGTTTTCCATACTATTTAAAATAAAAACTTGAATAACGTCCTCATTTTTTATCCAATTTTCTTCAAATATCTTGCAAAAACTTTTCTATCATGTAAGAAATAAAATAGTATGATTTTAGTCCTGCTTGCTTCCCTGTGTATAATAAAAAAAAAACATGAAAAACTGTTCAAAAAGCCCGTTTTTCAGTCATGACTCCCTGGTTTTTCATCCAATACTTTCAAAACTTGCCATATAAATTACATATGACACACAAATTGCCTTGAATAAATGTTTGGCTTAGTTTATTTCAGTTAAGTGGACAAAATCTGTGACAAACTAGGTCCAAAATCAGCTTTTGTCATTTATCCAGTAGTTTCTTTATATGATTCCATCCTAAATTGGTATTCAAACAACCTTTGATGCAAAGATTGTTCAAGGACTATTAAAGCGTTAAAACAGAAAAATGCCTAAAGAACTTATTATTAATCTCAGATTTACAGTAAATGTGTGAAGAAGGATGGGGGCATTCATGTTTTTGCACTTGCAGTTGAATTTAGCTCTGCTGCTTCCTCCCCGTTTTTGTTTGATTATTAGATTTGTGATTAATGCCATACTATTTGAAAGTTATTATGGCCAAAGGAAATTTACTGAATATCTAAAACATTGAAACAATTTAACCACACTAGAAGGTTTTATCAATGGAATTCCTTTATTAAGAACAATTAAACACTTGCAAAGGATATATCATAAAAAAGATGAGTGGGGGAGTAACTTAGTATCCCAATGGATGATACATGCAAGTGGGAATGCAGGCAGACATTTCTGAACAGAGGGGTGCAGGTATACAGGGGTGGGTGCGGTTATACAATTGCAGCCATGTACACCTGGGCACCAACAAGCACCTCAGCTAGTGTATATATAAACCAAAGGTATAAAGTTAAATCTTAAGACAATGAAAAAGAAAGAAATGAAGTTTCTTTGGGAAAATATCTGGGTTTTTGTTGTTTTGTATTAATAGGCGTTGTATTCTTCAACTTTCTGCAGAATAAACAGTTTCATAATAAAAATGTTTCAACTCAAATCTTCATGCACTTTAAAGCCTTATGACTGCTTGATAATGAACCAAGTAGAAAAGAATAAAGTGAAACAAAGGCAGTGGCTATAAGATTATGGATGTACTGTAGTAGTATAAGTACTGCTACATCACATTGCATGTTCTTCTGATATAGAGTATGAGCTCATGCTTATCAAAACTTTGTTCAATTTCTGCAATTTAATTACCACAGTGTATATCCATCAAATAATGTTGTGATTAAAAACCAGAAAAAAGGTGAAAATAATTTTTAGAAGAAAACAAAGAAATGTATGGAAAAAAAATGCATGAAAACTTACTTTGTATCTTTCTAAGGCATCTAGTGTGAGATAGTAGCCATCTCTGGAATAAAGGCAAAGTGCTGACATCAACTCAAAGATCTGTATTTTGACAATGGGATTTCGATTTTCCAAAACTGAAAAGGAAGATTTTAATGAAAGTTATTAATGAGTAAAGAATCAATTATAATTGTAGTAAAAATAAAATTAATGATCACAAATTTACACAACCACATATCACAAGTACAAATAGTCACAAATCCACTCCTTCCATGCTTGACTTTTTCACACCACAACTTTCAAACTTCCACAGACTTTATAAATGTTTGAAGACAGCTATGCTAATCTATAGGCAGCACATCCAGACTATTCCATTAACCTTTTTTTGTTACAGTCAAAAGAATGGGCTTGCCTCAGTTTTTCCTTGCATCATGGAGTCAATAGCAGTAATAGATGAATGTACACAGTATTCTTGAAAGTAAGTAGATGTCTTCTGCACAGTAATTAATTCCAAAGTATTTATAGCAAATCAAACAATATTTTAAACCTAAAGCATTTGCAAAAAAAAAAAAAAAAAAAGAATCAAACATGGATTTTTTAAAAAGCAAAATAAAAAAATGTTTCTATCCTCCAATTTGATGACATAAAGAGAACCACAGCTGCAAATTTAAAGAATGTTTTGATAAATAAACTATAGAGAGCAGCCAAATGAACGAATGTTATTCAAAAATTTCATGTCAACCATTTCTCTTTATTTGAAAGTTAATAGACATCTTATGAAAAAGCATTTGCATGGCATTGTGCCAAATTATGCTAGATTTAATAAATAACCATTTTTTCCAGGGATGTTATAACAAATAGATATTTCAGTAGAATCTTTTTCTCAAGTTATGGTAGAGAAGTCCTTAATAACAGAAATTAGATTTATATTCATTGTTTATAAAGATGTATATATTAATAGAAGATTTAATTATTTTCTAATTATTGTCTTACCCTTCAATATATTAGGTTACAAATCTTTGAAACTTGCCACTAGAGACTGTTAAACCCATGAGTTTTCACTATCATCTATCATCTGCAAGATTGTTAGAAAGAGTGCTTTTAGTAAAAACCAACACATGACTGTTTCTAATAGTTAACACCATTACCATCAAATTCTCTTTCTTTTATTTATATTTCATAACATTCATTTGCTTAGATTTAATGATAGAATAGTAATTCTCTATTTTGGTATTTTTCTATAAAGACTCCTGCATGTGAACTAAAAAATGATGAAAGTTATCGAAGGACATGCATGAAAAATTAAGTTTTGAAATCATGAAAAAAACAAGAAAAATGAGAGAAGAAAAATGAATACAAAATTGGCAAAATTAAAAAGACTAAAGAAATGAAAGGAAATAAAATTCTTGTAAAGAATTTATTTTTCTTTTCTTTCTTATAATATTTACAATTTCTTCACTGCTATCTTTATTCTTTCACATTTCATTATTCAATGGGAGTATTTACCTCTTTTATATATCTTGAATTAAAAGTGATTTTTTGACTCTGCAGGCAGAGAAGACAAGTATTGCTTATGAATCTACAGGATATGTATGTCTTTCCCTGTAGCAATGGTTAGTAATCCATTTTCACATGACTATTACTACAGTGGATGCTACACAGTTTTGTACCAGACTGTAAAGTTTAGTAAATATCAATTGATGGAATGTAGTTAGAATATAATTGTACTTATACAAGACAGGGACAAGTATACACATTTTTATCACTTTAAACATTTTTAGTGAATACTTGTATTTGAGTAGGCACAATATAAATATTTCTTTCCATCTACTGACCTGAATGCTCAAGAAATCCTATTAAAAGAAAAATTGTCCTCTTTAGAAGGATTTGAATCTGCATCTCTCAGGGCAGATGAAGCTACTGTTAAGCCCAGCATACTCTAATGAAATTGGCCATGAACAGCAGATGGTCAGGCAAGGAGAAATTTTGTACTTTAAAAAAAAAAATCTCTCTCCTGATAGAGTATCCACTAAAAATAAGTTATAAAAATCTGTTGGATTAATAAAAAACATTACAAAAATTATCTTTGTTTGGATATGAAACTGTACAGAGATGAAACTCACATGTAACTGCAGAACAAAGAATGAACATCCCTTAAATGGCAATTGCATGCAGAACAATGTAATATGCCAAGCCACTGTAAGGTCAGCAAATAATGAAGAAACAAATAAAAAGTAACTGAAGAAACCTGAAAACAAAGAAGCTATGCACACAAAACATTTTTTGCAAATAGTAAATATGCAAACAGCACAATATCTGAGAGATTAGGAAACAAACCAAATCACACCAAAAATATAGAAAATAAAGAAAACAACATCAGCCTACAACAATAAATCCAAAAACTGTAAACACTGTCAGGAGGAGAAAATAGCTATAATTACTTTCCCATATCAACAAAAACTATTAAATAAAGAATCAGAACTCATCTCAAAATGCAAACACAAAAACAAATTTTTACTGTTATTTAAAAATCAATAACTAAAAATGAACAAGAATAAACAAAAATAAATAAAAATAAGTAAAATAAATTAATCCAAACCAGTAAATAAATTAAGTAAATAAACAAATTAATAAAATTAAATGCATATATAAACACAAGCAAACATAATAACAACCAACAATAAAATAATCAATAATAAATAAGAAAAAGTTATCAAAAACACTATAAATAGCCAAAAGAAATGAATCTGGATCCACAGTTGAATTTGAACAAGGATTAGAAATTTGGATTTTAATGATAATACTGCACTATTAGATATAACAATAAATGTCAAAATGAGAATTAATTATTTAACTTAAATTAAGACCTTCTGTGTAACATTTCTGTGCCTAAATCACCACTAAATTATTTTTAAATAATAACAGTAGGAAAGGAAGTATTAGGTGTTTTAAATATGATTAGTCATTTCACTTAGTTCCATGAAGCTAGCTTTTTGTTGGGACTGATTAACTTAAAGTTAGGGCTTTGGTCAGTAAATGAAAACAGCTTGAAATAAAAATTTACTTTCATTTTTTTGCAATTAGCTTGGGTTTAAACAAAACTAATTCAACGTTAAAATTTTTAATCTATGGCCTCAATGCCATGTGAGTGACAGTTATAAATTAATGACAGCATTTTTAGTAGTTAGTTTAATACAAAAAGAACAAGTATCTAATTAAAGTACTTTCAATAAGATTACATATGTATAGATATTTAAACAAGTTTTGTTAAATTCAAATGACAAGGTCTGTTTGTTTAATTTTGTATTATATTTTTCAATAAGTTGTATATACAAATCAATACTGGGTACTGACTGTCCAGAGTTCATGTTTTTTTTTGTTTTTGTTCAAGTACTTTTGACCATCTCAGTCATTACCAAGAACTGGATATTGTCAATATGGCAGAAAAGATTTTATTAGCAACATCCTGGCATTTTTTTTGTTTTTAGACTGCCAGAAATCAAAATATATACATATTGTATAGTGAATACATGCATAAAACAATTTCACAGAGCTCAACTGTATGAGAAAATTATGGTTAAAATATTTTTTGCTTATTTTATATGCATATTAGATACTTTTTATATGCATATTAAATACTTTATACACATTTAAAATACCATCTAATTTGTTGAGAAATATTTCATGCAGGTTTTTTATTTTGCATAGTAATGGTTTCTAGAACTTTGTGTATTTGTTTGCAGTGAATGCTTTATAGTATTTTAGTATTATCTATCAATATTTGTATCATGTTAATAGTTGGATTTTGGTTGTTTGTGATGCGATGTGATGATTTATGAATTGCACTAAGTTTTGACAAGTGACAAGTCATTCTATGAGAGAGTGTGGTGCATATGTGTCCAATGTAAGAATTTAATGCTCTCTTTCATATATGTGTGTGTATTTAGCTAGTAATCCTTCATTTATACATGTTTCATTCAAGACAACAGACAAGAGATTAAGCTTTTTATTTAATTTTTCTTGTGTTTGAACAAATGTTTTCTTTTCTGGACACAGAGTGTGTAGAAACTATCCAAATGTTCTGTAATTCCAACCGCTGTGGGCTATACTTTTAGCTATTATCAAGGATGATTTTATTTTTACTTTTTAACTGGATGTATGAGTTGTGTGTATGTTTCTAGAGTTATAGGGATGTTTTATTTTCCAAACACAGCACATTGTGACTGTGTTCGTAGTTAATATTATTGTGTGTTGGCTTTTTCCTTTTTATTATTAAGGCTTCCATTATTTTTAACCTTTTTTACATGTGGATGAGGTTATTATGCTTGTGGTTTTTACTAATATGTTTCGTATGGAGTCTGGTAAGTTTGTGTGTGTGCGTTTAAATAGGTTCTGATGGAACTGAGGTCAGATAGGTGTAATGTAAAGAGGAGACTGGATAGGCATGTAGTAGTGTGAGAAATGTAATTATTTATGAGTTTGGATTGATCAGGAAAACAATTCCTTAAGGGGCATTTGAAAATATATATATATATATATATATATATATATATATATATATATATATATATATAAATAAAATAAACATTTTAGAATAATATTGCTCGTAAATTTTATTTCCTGTTTAAAAAAAAAATAGATTCAGATTCAATATTAAATATTACTAAAATCCCTTTTGTTTACCAGTTTATAAATGTGGGAAAATGTTACAGAAAGTTTTGATAGAAAATTTTGTGCTAACAGCAAATAAAGAAAACAAAATAGTTAAGATTTCAACCATCCCCACAAAATAGCAATTAAGATAATTAAATGTCTTTTTTTTAATGAAAGAGAAAAGAATTTCTTTATCTCACTATGTGGTGCATTTTTAGTTAGTGATGAGTCTGTTATTACTCATCAAGTGGCTGAAACTTGTGGATATTTCTAAACTGATTGTCAAGTCAGCAAAAATAAGGTCAGCACTGAGGTGTCTCTAAAAGGACAAAACAATCCCTAGCTGAAAACAGGAGACAAAACAAAGTGTCATATTGCCATAAGTAATAATAATTAAGGTAAAGAACCTGTGCCAGAAAAAGGAATTATTCAACCTGAGATGAATGTTATCAACAATAAACTAATTGGATAATAGTGACGAGTT